CACATGACTTAATGGACTATAAATTCTGCCACCGACCCAGCATTTGTAAAAATCCTACTTTTTCACTAGTGAGCTGACAATTCCTTCACACTGTCTTCTTCCTAAGCCTCTGTTTATTTTTCTTTTCCCCTCCCCCACTTTATACAGAGAAACTGCCTATTCATCAATCCAATGCAAGCAAGCCATGACATCTTACTACCAACACTACAAACCTACCTGCCTTTGCACCCATCCTTTGTGCATTCCTTTCTGAAAGAATGCTGGTGGTCTCTTAGTTAAAGTAATTCTTCCATCTGGCCAGTGGACTAATATCTTCTGAACGAATCGGGCACTTACTACTAACTATCCCCTTTTCTCTATCTTTACTCTTTCACTTTCTACCTGCCCCTTTACAGAAGAATGAAAAACAACAGAATAAAACAGATCTCTCATGTCATAAATAAGATCACATATAATTAATAATTGAAAACACAGAAGCCTTCTTTAGAAACCACATCCTCAGGGCACCTGGGTGGCTCAGTAGGTTAAGCATCTGACTTCGGCTCAGGTCATGATCTCACAGCTTTTGAGTTCCAGCCCTGCGCCAGGCTCTGTGCTGACAGCTCAGAGCCTGGAGCCGGCTTCAGATTTTGTGTCTCCCTCTCTGCCCCTTCCCCACTCACACTCTGTCTCTCAAAAATGAATAAATGTTAAAAAAGAAAAGAAACCACATCCTCTTCCAGCTAACATCCTTCTCTGCTCCCTTTCACAGCCAAATTTTTGGAAGGTTTTTAATTGCTGCCTCTATTTATCCTAAATCCAATCAAACAAATAATTCTCTTGATTCTATCTCCTGAATCTCTCTCAAAATCATTCATTTATCTGTATTCCTACTCTGGTCCAAGTCATGATTATCTCTCCTTTGCCAATCCTACATTCGCTTTTGCCCTCCAGTCTTCCTGGCACAAAACTAAAATGATACTTTAAAAACTCAAATCTCATTATGTAACTCCCTCCTTAAAAATCTCAAAGGTTTCCTAATAAAGTCCAATTATCATCATCATAATCTATATATGGTCTTATGGAACCTGGCCCCTATCCTATTTTAATTCCCTACCTTACCCTGCCTTTCCTATGCCATAATCATACAAGTTTGTTCTCATGCAAGCTTGTTTTCACGCCGGTATAGAGTTTCTATGCTTTATCAACTTAGCACACTCCACTGGAACCGTATCTCTAGCATTCACCTCACTTCTACTACTTATCTCATCTTTTGGGCTTCAGCTCAAGCTCACTTTCTCGGAGAAACTTCCCCTAATCATCCCTCCCAGAGTAGGTTACATCTTCTAGACATATGCTCTCGTTGGACCTTAGACTTTTCTTTGTACTATTCATCGTAATTATAATTAGTTATTTACTTGACATTTATTTTCCTGGCTAGATATAAACTCCATAAGGATGTTTGTCTTGTTCAGTGATTAATTCCCAGCAATCAGCTCACTGCCTGGGATACAGCAGGCATTCAGACATTTGTTGAATGGTTGAACGAATGAAAGAAAGTGCATATTAAGAGTATCAAACATGAGAAAAACAAATCCTTTACAGTGAGAACAGACCTTCTTTTTATTCATATATTGAGATAAACTGCAGAGACTGAAAGACAAAAATTCATCACAAATCATTCAGCAGAACATTCATTAAAAATCAAGTGCATTTTCTTTAACAGAGTTCTCACACAGAAAATTTTATTTTATAAGTCTGATATAACAGTAAGTATTTTACAAATCAGACATTTCATTTTTAAATCTAATTGTATAATCTTGAATGCACTATAGACAAATAAAGTTAGCTCTCCTTTACCAGTATCACTTCATTTAACTTATACAAGGCTTCCATTAAAATTCCATCACACCTTGAAAACTACCTGCAGCTTTAAAAAACACATGATTTAAACTTTAAGTGGAAAAGTCTTATGTAGCTATCCAAAAAACAAAGCCAAAACCAAAACAGGTAAGAAGCATTTCTTAATATAAATAAATTATAAAATACCATTTATGAGTGAGTTTCTTTCTTCTCATTGGTATGGTCAGCCAACTCAAAAAACAATTCATTTTGAAATCGATGCTTAAAATACTACAGTGTCACTTGAAAACCTCTATTATTTTAGTGGCACTCTTAAATGGCATAGTAGAATCAGATTGGAATGGCCTGACTCCTGTGCCAAAGTGAGTAAGACTTGCTCAAATTCATGCCGGGTGTCATCACTGTGCAGTCAGTAGACAGCCCGGTGACCAGTAGTCCCAATTGTTAATAAAAACTTACTAAACTAGACACTTCAAGAAACACTTCTTACCCTGACATATTTCCACTGCTAGATACAGAAACATACAGTTATATTTGAAGTATGAGCCTTATAACAGGAATCTCTGTTTAAAATTTGAAACGGATCAATAGAAAGAATTCACACCAATGAAATTCTGTGGAATGATTTTCAAAGTTAGAAATAAGAATATCCATGGCTACTGGAAGCCCTGCTCTGTGCAAACATAGTGTGGTATATATTAAACAATCACACATTTGAGGTATTAGCTGGAAAAATATATATATATATATATATACACCTATACATGGACACGTCCACAGAATATTCACAAGTCCATTGGCCCCAAAACCAGCAGATAATAAAATTAAATGAGAACGAATCACATACCAACAGGAAAAAGTTACACACAGGGAACTTACAAAACACGCGGTTATATAATCCTTAATATAAGGAGTATGTTTTGAGTTAATGTTTTGAGGGAAAATGTTTCCGTTTACATGAAAGTGTCTATTTAATAGTAATGGAAGCCAAAAAGGAAGCCTGAATTCTAGGACTGTGTTGCCTGTCAGATTATTAAAGGGATGTGTAAGAATTCCTTGAAGATCCTCATTCTACTCACTTTTTCTTTGTACTTAAAAATTAAAATCAAAAAATGTTTTATAAGTTATTGTTATACTATTCTTTCCTTTTTCATTGGTTTATAGAGGATGTTATGGATTTTAACTAGGCAACTGTCCAACGTGGCCAACAGACATGGTTTTCGGCGACTTAGTAAAGATTAAAATTCAGATTTATTGTTCATTTTCAGGACTTTTTCTGTTCAGACAAAAAAAAAAAAAAAAGATTATGATGCCCTTTCAGTTTGCTACACTCAGTATGAAGACAGATAGTAACATGGGTAGTCCTGAACCTTCATTTGGGGAAACTAAATAAATGCACAAATTCTCCTTTTGAACTATATGGTCCTCTGCCGTAACACTTACTTAACTGGAAAGATGGCTCATTTGGTTCTCAAGTCAACATCAAAAAATGTTTCATTGTCTTAACACAAGTGGGAGATTTAATTTTTAACGAAATATGTGGGAATACGTTATTAAGAATATGTCACAGTTATTAAAAAACAGATGCATTTAAAACTATTACAACAGAGCAACAAAGAGAAATGAAGAGGGTGATCATTTCTCTCACTATACACTATTTTACATACTAGTGTAGCTGAAGATTTAACAGGAAGAAAACTTAAGCATAAAAGTGCAATTACAGTGAAGGGCTGAAACTCCACATTCCTATTCTTGTGAACACCTGAGCTGACACAAAAGCAGAGTGGCTTAATGCATTGGCATATATACGCCTTAAGGATTTATTCTACCAAATCTGTGTATATTATAAATAAAAATGCAATGATTATGAAACAAATACTTATTTAAGCATTCAAATGCAATCCGTCCCCAAAATATATTATTTTTACATACTAGATGGATTAAAACTTGAATTTTCTCATTGAGAATGACATTCTCAGATTTGATCAAAATAAATTCTGAAGCTTATAAATGACTAGCACCAGTCTATCTGGGAACTAAGGAATCAAAAAAAGGAGGAGAAAAGATACTATTTACTTTCCCCCAAATCCTTACAAGGACAATGATGTTTATATGTATGTATGTAAAAAGGGATAAAAATGTAAAGCATTAATAAATATAGTTGCGGCCAAACTTCTCAAATACTAGTTAGAACAGCTAGTAAAGCAATACTCAGAGATTGAGAGCTTTGAGGCAATGATTAAAATGAATAGTACAAGTTATCAAATGAAATTGCAAAGCTCATGTAGCTAAAAATAAGATGGTAAAAGTTGAGATTTTTATCAGAAGAGTAGAAAATATGAACATCCTCTATCTCAAGATAGTTAAAATCCTCTTACTTTGTAGAATTAACCCCAAATTCTAAGACACTTGGTTGGGTCTTTACACCAAAATATAGACAACATTAAGGACTTAATCTTTCCTTGCACACTTTATACGTGGCTTAAATTATCAGGCACTCAATCAGGTATTTCACACAGTTGTCTGAAAATTTTATTTTCTCAAACACACTCCCCCAAACATTTTATGAAATGTGATGGAATGCAGCAATGCAACTGAAATATAATACTGTCCAAAAGCCACACATGACTCCATAATGTATAACTTCACTTCATTTGATAACTACATGAATCCCCTTAAAAAGCCGAGATTAAGGGAAAAAGAATCACTCAACAAGAGTTCAGTTCACATTAGCATCAATCACAATAGTGTAAATTTCCCACTAAAGCTGGAAAAATAAAAGGATGAGATTTTTTCTCTTAAATTTTTGTTAAGTTTTCTGATGTACATGAACTTTCAAAGTTAATTAGAATGCTATGACCTTATTTTTTAAAAAAATCACTCTACAGGCTCAAGAACATATTTAAATTTGTATTTTCTTTTAGCACTGCTATTATTTTTTTTTTTTAATTTTTTTTTTCAACGTTTATTTTTGGGACAGAGACAGACAGAGCATGAACAGGGGAGGGGCAGAGAGAGAGGGAGACACAGAATCGGAAACAGGCTCCAGGCTCTGAGCCATCAGCCCAGAGCCCGACGCGGGGCTCGAACTCCCGGACCGCGAGATCGTGACCTGGCTGAAGTCGGGCGCTTAACCGACTGCGCCACCCAGGCGCCCCAGCACTGCTATTATTTTATTTCTTTAAATATTTCTAAAAGAAAACTGGTTTAGCTGTCCAGTTTTCCTGGAACAGTATGTTGTTTCGTTTAACCCACTAATTCATTCAGGTATTTCTACTGATTCACCTGGAAAGGGGATATCAGAGAACATTTTTAAAAAGAATGATCATTTTAGCGGTTTTATTCAACAGGTGCTATAAAATTCACTACATTCAGAAAAAAAATCTTTAAATAAAAGAACACTGCCACTCTAACTGGCATCCCCTCACATACTAAAAAAAAACTACCAAAGATGCATTTGTGTTCCATTAACTGAGTATGAAGCAAAATCATTAAAATATTACAGCTGTTAGACTAGAAATCAAATAGGTTCATACTCAATATACAGGCACCAAAAACTTCAATTTCCAGCTTATTTTTCTAATTTATATTATGGATTGAATTACAGACAGCTTATTCCTATTAGACTAATTGAATTACTCAATGGTGAATAGATTTTTAGCTCAGAATTTTGTAAGGATAACTTGCTATAAATCACTATTCTACCTGCTGCTATATTTCTGCTCACTGTTGCATATGGCCAAACAGATCATGCTCTGATCAAATAAGTGTGCTGTAATCTACTTATATGTTTAAGAGTTGGCAATCAGGTTAAAAGGCACGAAGCTTCATTTTAGTAGTATTTTTTTTTTATTACTCATTTGTAGAAGAACCCATTTACTTGAGATCCTGCTTAAATGATAACTAAGAAAAAAGTAAAATTTCCATGGGGGACAAAACAGGTGGGTCTTCTTCTTCATAAATCTGAGCAACCTTCAATGACAGATATATAAACATTTGAGGGGCTTATAATTATTGGAATTGCAAATGACGTAAGTGCAATTTACTGTTGAAGACCCTTTCTGTTTAATATCTACATAGCCATTTCCTCATATTTTCTTTAAAATCTATCAGTATAGCATTTCATTTCTATGCATGGCTTAGCAATTCATAAAACTAAATAGCAAACTGATACTCTACACCAGTTCATTTATCTCAATATATATTCTGGAATATAATGGCAATATTAAAAATATCAATTCCCTCTAAGCTGATAATGCTACAAGATTTACACAAAGTTAAACAGCTTTTGTTTTTTCTTTTCTTTTTGAAAAAGTTTCATTGCTTGAACTCCACCAACATTCGACATCTGACAAGGAAAACGTAATTTTCTCATAGGACATTTATTCTATCAGTTTAAACTAAAGTGTCTCATGGAGCTAAATGCTGAAAGAATTTAAATAAAAATGTAGTAACCCGTATGTACACAAAATGATCATTCCAGAAATATTTACATGACAAAAGGAAACATGGAGAACTACTAAAACTGGAAACTGCCACAGGTGTGATAATCCTTTCTCACAACATTTTATTTAGGAATAATGTAGTACGCTTTTAAAGTGAAAATAACTGCAGAAGCATAACGAAAATGTTACTTTTAGTTTTCAGTTCCTTACTATTTAAAGGAGCCAGTAGGTCACAAACAGTCCAAGATTTCAGGGACCAACCATTCAGTTTCGTTGTTAACATCCAATCTTTTTCTTTAGCTCTCATGATGAAACTAAACTTACTTACGGAAGAAATTAAGAGTACACTAGAAGGTATAAACACAATCCCAGTTCATCCTCCTTTATAAATACTGGTCAGCCGCTCCAATTCTTTACAGTTGTCCATGCTCAAGGCATCTGCCTTCCTTCGGAGACGATCATCACGGTATACTTTTGCGGCATACTGCATATCTGTTTCTGTTAACAAACAAAAACATTTTGCTAAGTAGATACTAATTTAGGTCACCTAGTTATTTAAACCGAAATGATGGTTAATAGAAGCCCTTCAATACATTTCTATTAACTGACTTTTTTTTTTTTTTTTTAAGAAAGAAATCCAAGTATTCCTCCTAAAAGCCTTTGGAAGCCTAGCATGTAAAACCAACACAGAGCTGTTCTGGGAAGAAAATGAAAATAAAATCCTATCAACCATTTCCCTCACTCCTGTCTCCAGTGGTTTAAAAACTACTGCTCTAGGGGCGCCTGGGTGGCGCAGTCAGTTAAGCGTCCGACTTCAGCCAGGTCACGATCTCGCGGTCCGTGAGTTTGAGCCCCGCGTCAGGCTCTGGGCGGATGGCTCGGAGCCTGGAGCCTGTTTCCGATTCTGTGTCTCCCTCTCTCTCTGCCCCTCCCCCGTTCATGCTCTGTCTCTCTCTGTCCCAAAAATAAATAAATGTTGAAAAAAAATTAAAAAAAATAAAAATAAAAATTACTGCTCTAAAGCATCGTCTGGACCTTTCATCCTGAAGATACCATATGCTATTCAATCCTGCTAGTGGTTGTTTTTGCTGTGACCTCTTGTTAAGGGTTCAGATTAATTCATTATGCCAGGACTTGAGTAGAAAAAATTGAAATCTTGTCCTGAGTTCACTTGAATTAAAAAAAAAAAAAATCTTGGGGCACCTGGGTGGCTCAGTAGGTTAAGCATCTGACTCTTGATTTTGGCTCAGGTCATGATCTCACAGTTCATGAGTTTGAGCCCCCCATCAGGCTCTGCGCTGACAGTGCAGAGCCTGCTTGGAATTCTGTCGCCCTTTCTGTGCCCCTCCCCTGCTTGCTCTCTGTCTCTCAAAATAAATAAAAATAAACTTTAAAAAAATATATAATAAAAAAATAAAAATTAAATTTAAAAAATCTTACTGAAGGAACACATAACAGAAAATAGCTTGCTACAGCATCATAGTAGTGGTATTTAGCAAATAAGTACTAAGATGTTCTTCAGTATGTGGATAGCATTACTAAAAAGAACAAATGGGAATCTTCCGAGAGATCTTCCGGGAACTATTCCTTGCTATCTTCCCGTTACTCTCAGTCATTTCACTGTTTATTAACACTTCCAAAGGGTGGGGGCACTTAGGAAAAAAATGTAACAAGACCCAGAAAAAAGTCACTTACTTTCTGGAAAACAATGGCCAAAGTAAAAGACATCAGTCAGGACCACATTCAAGATAATACTCACAGTAAGAGTGTATTCTACTGGCAAAGATCTTCAGAACAGATCTTTATTCCGTCAATCCAGCTAGGATTTAACAACTCAGTCAAAATCGCTCCATCCCTTTTATTTACAAATGAAGCATTTGTGAAATCCTTTCGCAGATGTTTCTTCCCAGATGAGGTAGATAAAACAAAGTTCACAGGGCTAGTCAACAGCAGGGTCTAGATTCCAAGCCAAACCTCCAAACTGCTACCCTTTTATTCTTTCCATTACTTCAAATTATTGCTTGTGTTTTATAAAACACCTACTTTACCAATCTAGACATTACACAGTGTTAAAAGTGACTACAGAACAGAAAAACTCTGGTAAAAAGAAATCTATTGGCCAACAACCTTTTTGATGACATCAATTTATAAAACAAGATGAACTTATCCCAATCAACAAGTAAAACTTTCAATCAATGGATTAATTAGTGTCATACCGAGCTCCTCCCACTTCCATCTTCACTTAAATTTGTTAAATCTCATTTTGAAAATTTCAAACCCACATTAAAGTGTACTGAAACGAACGAACGCTCTAAAACCCTTTAGACCTTGATTGACCAATTCTTCACCTTTTGTCAAATCTGCTTCAGCTCTCTCAATAATAAAGGCTGTTACTGTTGTGGTGGTGATTATTACTTTACAAAACCTTTTGAGAATAAGGTGCAGACGTCATGACTTTTCATTCCTAATTACTTCAGCATGTTTCTCCTAACAAGAGCATTCTCTTACATAACCACAATACAATTTTCAAATTCAGAAATTCAACAACAGTAGAATCCTCTTATCTAATGTACAGTCCATGCTCAAATTTCACCTGTCGTCCCAAGGATGTCCACTACAGCCATTTCCTCCCCTCCCCGCCCAGGAGCCAATCCAGGATCATACACTGTATTTAGTTGTCATTTCTTTTTAGTCTCTAAGTCTTTAGTCTTTTTGTCTTGTTCCACTGATACTCTTGAATGCAACCAAGTGGTTTTGTAAATAATGACTTACTAAAATCAGATTTTAGTTAAAATTTCCTTCCGATAGTAACTTTAAAAGACACACATGTTAACTGTGTACAATATAGCTGCAGACAACTTGGTAAACAGAACAGATTCAAAGTCTGTGAACATTAATACCAATCCTGCCAGATTACTAAAAGATTAAACTAAAGTATGCCAAGCAAAAACACTTGGTTCATAGTATGGATAGAATAAAAAATGATTATAAATACCATAAGTAATACTATTGAACACTTACAGATGCAAGATATTATGTTAAGTGTAACATATATGATCTGTTATGGTCCACATTTTAATGATGAGATAATTATGATTTAGAGAGGTTAAGTAACTTGGTCTGGGTCACATATTGGTGGAGCCAGGATCTTATCTTGCAAGGCAGTCTCAGAGCCTTCACTCTTACCATAACATTACACTATCTTCCACAAACATGAATATCTTTTCCTTCCTTCTTTCTATTTATTCAGCCAATTTCCCAATTATTTAAGGTAACAGAATTTAAGTATGCATAATCCCCAAATCACCCATATGTGGTTGAAGATTAGAATTCGTATTTGAAAGGTGATAGATCTAATGTGTTAGTCGTTCTTTTAACACAAAATACGCAGGTCTTTCGTACATTCATTCTTATGAATTCATTAATCTTTCATCCAATTATTCATATATCCATCAAAAGTTTACGATATGCCAAGATATGCCAAGGATTGTGCAAGGCACTAGAGACCAAAAAGTGAAATAAAATGAAATAAATAATATTTGGTGTGCTCTGTCCTTAAGACCTTCCGCTAATGGAGTTTCTCAGCCTCAGTGATATCGATATTTTGGTCCAGAGAACTCTGTTGTGGGGGCTGTCCCCTGCACTGCAGGATGTTTAGCAGACCACGGCCCCAGTCTGGTCTGTTGGATGCCAGCAGCAATCTCTCCCACCCCCACCCCATAGTGACACACACAAAGTTTCCAGACATTACCAAACATATTGTGAAGCAGGGGCAAATCATTTCCAGTTGAAAACCAATAGTCTAGGGGCGCCTGGATGGCGCAGTCGGTTAAGCGTCCGACTTCAGCCAGGTCACGATCTCGCGGTCCGTGAGTTCGAGCCCCGCGTCGGGCTCTGGGCTGATGGCTCAGAGCCTGGAGCCTGTTTCTGATTCTGTGTCTCCCTCTCTCTCTGCCCCTCCCCCGTTCATGCTCTGTCTCTCTCTGTCCCAAAAATAAATAAACGTTGAAAAAATAAAAAAATTAAAAAAAAAATAAAAAAAAAGAAAACCAATAGTCTAGTATAACCTTCTCCACATTGAGACCAGAAGGATTTCACAGACTCAGACTTGGAAACCAAGAAGGTTTCTAACTTCCACTTTCTCTTCTAACTGCCACTATATAGATGAGGACTCCAAAGTCAGAGACAAGAACTTTCTTGGAAGTATACAAAGGTTATGTTTTATCGACTCTTCCCTACTGGATGGGAGATGATGATAACTGCTACCATTTTTCTGGGCATTTACTCCATGTGAAACACTTTATTGTCTGATTTAATTTTTATGACAAACCCATAAAGTTGGGCATTATTGAGAAGATTACAGAGCACAGTGCCTGGACTGGCTGGTTTGAATCACAGACTACCTCTATGACCCTGGGCAAGTTACTAAATCTCTCTGTGTCTCAGCTTCGTCATATATAAAATGGGTATAATAACTTCAGAGTGGTGTTGTGGAAATTAAATAAGTTAATATATATAAAGTGCTTGGGACAGTGACTGAAACTAAGGATTATACAAATGACACTTAGTTCCTCTTCCCACTAGTCAGCATCATCCATTTCACACCTGAGGGAGGAAATTCATGAAGGTTAGAATATTTGGCCCTAATCACTCAGCGAAAAATTACAGAGCTGGGATTCAACTTTAGTTTGTTTAACCCCAAAGTCTACTTTATATGGTCTACATTATTATATGTAACAGTCAGAAAAACAATAACCGTAACAACACTAGATTCACATGCACCATCTCTGCAAATTCTTACGGTCAAGCTTTTTATGGGTGGAACTGCTTCTTAAATTAAGGAAGCTGAGGCTGGAAAAGGCTAAACAAATTGATTAAGTGTTCCCAAGGACTTCACGTACAGAATAAAACAAAATGTCAACAAAACTCATTATACATTAAGTGTTAAATGCTTAAGCTAAATTAATGAAGAGTTTCAAACTTCACTCTGAAACAGGATGCATATTAAAATCGATGACATAACAAATGTACCAGAATTTTTTCTTTTCTAGTGATACATAAAATAATGATGCATGTTACAATTGACAACATCTTAAATACAATGAAATTTGGAATTATTCACTTATTCAACCAAATATTTACTGATAACAATACATACCATTTATTAAGTGCTTTCTATGTAAACTATGTGTTTATACTATTATAAGGCCACATGTACATTAAAATGTATTGTCGTATTCAAGTACTGAGCTCCAATTATGTGCCAGGCAATTCCAGAACATTTCTGGAGGAGGGAAATCTACAATAATCAATTCCAAAGACTCTGAATAAGTTTTTAAATGTTAAACATTTCATAAACTTACTTTGTTGTCTTTCTTTCCAGCAATTATTTCGAATATTAGTCACATAATCTTCTTCCACACTCTTTTCTACTTTTTGTAATAACATTCCTTTATATTCATTTTTAAAGTCCTTGTTGACATAATAAACGACACCCAAGTTTTCTGTCTGCATTTTAATAGTTTGCCCTGATCCACTGCAAAAGAAATGCTTGATCATTATTTTTTTTAATTAAAATTGTACATTCTGATCCTGCTACTACAAACCAAGTTAACAAAACAACTAAAAATAATTAAAAAGTTAACATTAGTAATCATTTGTTTACATTTTTTCAAATTGCCTAAAACCACCATTCATGTAATAAAAAAGTAATCCTATTTTAATATAGATTCTTATAAGTTCTTTCAATTCTTAGTTAATTAAAATCTTATTTAGAAGAAAGGAAAAGTTATTTCTTATTTTTACACCAATCTGCTTTTAATACTGTAAAATCACTGGCAATATGATTTTATCAGTTTCTTGTATGTTCACTGTATTACACTAAAGTTTTCTAGAATGGATGCTGCATTAAATTTCCTTTATGTCCTGATCTTATATAAAGTATATTGCGGAAAAATACCTCATATACCAAAAAAGTAATATTTGTTTTTATTTAATTAACATGTCATAAACAAAAGAGTGAAGTGGTTTACCCCTCAATGATACAAATCTATGTAACATCAATTATAATTCTACTTTTGTCTTTCAAACTATTTTTTGTCTTTGATCTCATCATATTACCTATTACATAAATTGCTATTAAGCTCAAATACAGTACTTCTGTCTTTATCCACAATAGAACAGAAATGTAAACTAACAAGATAATACAAATTTATTACTTGAGCAACGATTTTTTTAAATTAGAAATTTTAAAATCTGGTACACTTGTAGCAATAGAAAATTACTTAAAAGCTAAAGAGAGCACAAGGTCCTTTAAAGGAAGCTAGATAAGAAACAATATTTTTGTGTGTGTGTAAAACTTAGCTACTTACGATCTGGGATATAAGGAATAAGGAGGATTAGAGACCATCAATTGGCTTAATAATGACACGAGGATCAATACAATAATGGGCATCAGCTGGATAAACACAGAAAAACCTCCCTATAAAAAAATCATCAAAAAACAACAAATTGTAATATAACTGTAGTTGTCAATAATCCAACAGTTGTCATATATTTTTAGAGGCAGAAAGGACATTTGACATCATCTGGCTCGGTGCTTTCAAATCTGCCTGATCATACCAGCTTCCTGGAGTGATTCTTAAAAATACCACTTTCCAGGTGGAGATATGCAGATATGTAGATCTGTAGATATCCTGATTTGGAAAACACTGATATGAACTGATCTCATGTAACAGATGAAGAAGTTCTCTCTCTTGCAAAACTATTTTTCCCTTGAATTTCAGAGTGGTACATGAAGCAGACGAGTGTCAGAGCTGGGGCCCATGCCTTTTGATTTCTAGTCCAGCGTTCTTTCTATTTACCTTTCCACTTCATGTAATTTAAGTGCTATATGCAATTGGGTATAACTGTATTAGAACAAGGAAAGTAACTTCTAACTTAAGTTTTTCAGTATTAATTCTAAATTCTTTAGGACCAACAACGAGAAGCTTTCTTCAAAGCATGCACTCTGCAGGGGTATCTTCATCAGAATCATAGAACACCAAACTCCAAGGTATCATTTTGCCCACCACCCTCTTACCTTGACTTCTACCCCTGCTCCCGCAATATCCCTGAAGGACTGTCTAGTCTCTATTGAATACCTCTGGTAAGGGAAAACTCATTACTTCCTTTTAAAACAACTTGCCCTATTTTCAGACAACCCTAATTGCTTTTCCTGAACTGAAATGTGCCATTTTGAAGATTTCTAATCATATCATAAACATACATCTCCTCTTTCTTCTTCTCGTTCATGTCCACTATGTCGATGCTGATGTTGATGGCTATAACCAGCTCGTCCATTTGAAAATGAATGTACGCTACCTAAAAAATTAAAAGCAAGGTAAAACTAAGGAGAGAAACTGTGATCAGAAAAATGATATATTTTTTACATTTTTATTTAATTTTTAAAAGTTACTAAAATAATACATGTTTGAGTAGGGAATGCTTATTGCCCTTTCCTCCTGTGAGTAAAGGGTGGATAGAAACAGCGATGATCCTTCCCAGACTTTGCTTCCTTGGAGATGGAAGTTCTTTATGAAAACCTAAATAAGAGTCCTCCCTAATATTGCATCCATAGAGGACTTTGTTGTGGTTGGTTGTTTTTACAAATCTTGGGTCTTACTCTCAAACTCTGCTTTCTGCATTTATCAATGAATCACAAATACCTCTAGAAATCAAGACAGTGCTAGAACTTATTAAAAACAAAAAAACCAAACAGCTGTATAATAGAATATGGTAGAGGTGAACCACAATTTATTCAAGTATTCTCCTGCTGATAGACAATCAGATTGTTTTCAAATAAGGTGACCAATCAGAAAGAGCTACCTCTGACAAAGTAAATTATGTCATAACAAGCAAAAGAACTGTAACTCAACTATCTGAAACTTGACTATTAACCCGAAAGATTCTTGATTGTTCCCACATATTTACCATCAAAATTACTAGTCTGGATAACTTTTCTGTGAGAAGTAATTATACGTCATAATATGTCAAAATACATGTTGTATTTTCATTCATTAATTTGCATTTACACATTCTCTTTCCTTCAAGGATGCTTTACAAAATGCCCTGTCAACGACCATAATCTTTCTCAATAATATTCAGGCAGGGCCATCAGGCCAAATTATATTGCTACATTCATGAAGATTCTCCTAATTTTGAATCGAATGTTTAACTTAGTACCTTAAATAAATGATGTCAACATTACTGGAGCTATAATTTTAACTATCTTACAGGAGCTATACAGTTAGAGAACATTAATTCTCACACAACTCAGAGTAAATAAAGTAGCATTCAATACAACTTATGCTGGTACTATAAAATCTATTCATTTAGTAGTACTTCTACAATATTTTACTTTGATAGCCTAATTCAACCAATTATTTCTATCTTAAAATAATTTTATTTTATTTTTTTTAATTTTTTTTAATGTTTTTTATTTATTTTTGAGACAGAGAGAGACAGAGCATGAACGGGGGAGGGGCAGAGAGAGAGGGAGACACAGAATCGGAAGCAGGCTCCAGGCTCTGAGCCATCAGCCCAGAGCCCAACGCGGGGCTCGAACTCACGGACCGCGAGATCGTGACCTGAGCCGAAGTCGGACGCTTAACCGACTGAGCCACCCAGGCGCCCCTATCTTAAAATAATTTTAAAAACCCACTTACTTTATATATAACCTATGAATCAAACATTTTAATATTTCAATGAAAAGTACCTCTACATATATCCAAACTAGCAATTTATAACGCGATGAATGAAATGTCTACAAAGATCTTCAGAGAACCAATGTCAAATTGTCATCTAGGGTATATGATACCTCCTGTAATTGTAATAGCACTTAATTAAGACACTGCCACTGGATCTCCTATTTATATATCCTTTCTTCAGCTTTATATAAAATAGAGAATATCTGTACTCATTTCTTTTTTAAAAAAATTAAAACATGTTCTAGAAAAAAGTCAGACTTACATTGAAGGTAATAAATCTAACATTTTTTTCTACCTTCATGAAAAGTCATCGGAGGATCCTAATACTGTTAAGAAATGTAGCGGAGAAAGTAGATAAATCTCTACGTAGCCTAATTGGAGGTGAGAATCTCTAGCTTCATTAAATATAATATTTATAACTAACATTAAAATACCTGAAGGAAATCCACCACCAAAGAATATATTAAACAAGTCTTCTGGAGTTATATCAGCTTCACAACCTCTATGGAAATTAAATCTACCATTGTTCTGGTGATTACATGCTTGTTCTTCATTGCCCGTGAGGTCATATTGTTTTCGTTTTTCTGGATTGCTTAAAACAGCATAAGCATTTCCAATCTCTGAAAAGGTAATGAGTAACAGTTGGTAAGCAAAGTTTTTATACTATAAAAGACTTCCCCATATAAAAGCTACTGCCATGTTAACCAAAAAACAAACAAAAAAACCCCCACATATACAGACAAGAAACAAAAAAAACCCAACAAATCCTACTTAAGGCTAATCAAGAAATAGTAAAACAGTTAATAACTTATTTTCGTATATATTTTTTAAAAAGACATACATTGCCTGCCATTACACATATTATTACCTCCCATTCAAATTTTTATGAGATGGTAAGTCTCCTTACTATCTTGCATATAAAGGAATGTACATCCTGCTTTCTTACTACTAATGGTCCATCCCCTAATATCCTACTTCTTCCTTTTGAATACCCTAATTTAGTCATTCATTAGAGCTACTCAAACCAATAATAGTAACAGTAGTGACCAACTGCCAGGCTTTGAACACAGTATCTTATTACATTATTCATTATTATCCCTAAATTACAGATGAGCCTCCTGAGCCTCAAAAAGGTTAAGAAACTTGTTCAAGGTCAAAATGTTAGCGCAGTAAGTATACTCTATGCAACCTACACTGTTGCACATGCCAGCCCACAATGTGCTATTTTTCATTCTATTCATGAACAATTTATTCCTCTTAACACTGGAAACTCCATGAGGGTATGGACAATGTCTATGTTTTCACTGCAGTATCCCCATGGTGCACTTGTGAAATCTGAATTTGCTTCTGAATGGATCCAGATGGTCTCTAGTGTTCCTATCTCACTTCACTAAGTTTGTGGTATTTATTTATAAAGAATTCTATTTCCCTTCTCATACTCCCACGTCCAAAAGAGGCAATGGTATGTTGGTTACAAAAATGTCTTTTTGAGGTAATTTACAAAAGCTGTAATGCTTTGATCCAAGCAGGAATTACCCTATTCTCATTCTGACACTTCTAATAATCATTTCATAAATACAGCTTGCTTCTTAAAGTTGATTGTAAACCTTTCGCAATATGGGGTATTTTAAAAACACTTTTTGGGTCCCATGTGGCAGCTGCCATAGGTACTGTGCAAGCAAATAGATGCTCATTAGTTATTTTTGGATGATTAGATATCACACTGAAATTAATTATACACATATACTCTGGAACTTTTCTTCTTATAGAGATTCTAAAACTAAAACCTGGGATTCAGAGATAGCTTGCAGGTGGTCTGTGAATCCCAGTATATGAAAAATTAGTTTGATGGTCCATTTATCTAAGGAGATAATCCAAACCTTTCTTTAGATTCTCAAATAGATCTATGACTCAGAAATATAGCCACGATTTATAATGTTGCTCTAACGGGAAAGCATGATCAGAGATCCAAACAATGTACTTACAAACAACATCAAGGTATTAAACCATACCTAAAAGAGAAGCATATCTATCAATATCTGCCAAAGTTGTACTTCCAGTAACATCAGTTGTTATTTCCAATAATATCAGTCTATATACAAATAGACTATTCCAAGTAATTTCATAATGCTGTTACTTTTTACATCATTGATATATTGGCATCTCAATCCTATTTTAAAACAGGTTTTGTTTTTTAAAAAAGTAATTTCCAAACAGCAAGCTATTTTAGAAAATCTATGTGAAATACTGTCATAACCCATAATTGTATATGTAAGACAATTTATTCTAATTTTCTATTCATTTACTTTGTTCTATACCCATAATAAAAATTGTTTTTCAGTTCCTTATTACCTAAAAAATTAAGCCCAAAATTTATTTTGGTATTCAAAAGCTGTACAAAATACATTTCTACCCCAGTCTCACTTACTTCACCAAAGGTAACTTCCACCATATTCTCTTCTCTTTAATTTAACTTCTATTCTTTTTTTTTTTTTCTTAGAGAGAGAAAGAGGGCTCAAGTGAGTGAGGGGCAGAGAGAGAGGGAGAGAGAGAAAGAGAATCCCATGAGAGGCAGAGAGAGAGAGAGAGAGAGAGAGAGACAGTGGAGGGGGAGAGGGAGGGAGAGAGACAGAGAGAGAGAGAATATCCCATGAGGGCCAGAGAGAGAGAGAGAGAGAAGTGGGGCTAACCCAAAGTGGGGCTCCCGCTCACCCAAAGTGGGACAAGGGCTCACCCGAAGTGGGGCTTGAACTCACAAACCGTGAGATTATGACTTGAGCGGAAGTCAGATTTTAACTGACTGAGCCACCCAGGCGCCCCTTATCAAATTTTCATTCTGAGGTAACTTTAAACTTACATGAGGTTGTAAGAAATAATACAGAGAGATCCTTTGTACCTGCTACCGAATTTCTCCAAGAGCAATATCTTGTAAAATTAAAGTACTATCACAAATAGGATATCGATACTGATATAATCAGGATATCGGACATTTCCACTAGCATCCTCTCATTGCCCTTGTAAAACCACACCCATTTCCTTCCCTTCCATCCCCTCTTTAATCCCTAACGACCACTAATCTAGTCTCTAGTTCTGTATTTTTGGCATTTCAGGAATATTATATAAGAAGAATAATACAGCATATAAATGGAATGAAACCATTTGGGATTGGCTTTTCTCAATTAGCATAATTCTTTGGCGATCAATCCAGGTTGTTAGGTAAGCCAAAACCATAGTCTCTCCTTTACCTCCAATCCATGGTTTCAGTTACCCTTAATCAACCATGGTGTGGAAGCAGATGATCCTCCTTCTGACTTATCATCAGATGTCAATAGTAGCCTGATGCTGCATCACTATGCCTACCTCACTCATCTCACTTCATCTTATCATGTAGGCATTTCATCATCTCACATCATCACAACAAGGGTGAATGCAGTACAATAAGATATTTAGAGAGGGGGGGGGGGGAGAGAGACACCACATTTATGTAACTTTCATTATAGTATGTTGTTAAAATTGTATTTTATTGTTATTGTTGTTAATATCTTACTGTGCCTAATTTATAAAATTACACTTTATCACAGGTATGTATGTATAGAAAAAACACCCACAGTATATATAGGGTTCAGTACTATCTGTGGTTTCAAAAGTCCACTGGGGGTCTTGGAACATCACCCCTGCAGGTAAGAAGGGACTACTACAGTTCATTCCTTCTCATTGATGAGTAGTACTTCATGGTATGGATGTCCCACTGTTTGTTTCGTCATTCACCCACTGAATGGGTTGTTTCTAGTTTTTGGTATTATGAATAAAACTGCTATTTACATTCATGTACAGGTTTACGTGTGAACATAAACTTTCATTTCTCTAGGATAGATGTCCAGGAACGCAACTGCTGGGTTGTATGGTCGCTGAATATTTAGTTTTTTGAGAACCTGCCAAACTAACCATTTTACAGAATGACTGTGTCATGTTACATCCCATCCACCATGTATGAGTGATCCAGTTTTCCACATCCACATCTAACACCAAAGATGTTGTCACTTTTTTTTTTAATTTCTTTAACGTTTTATTTATTTTTGAGAGAGAGAGAGAGAGAGAGAGAGAGAGAGACAGAGCAAATGGGGGACGCGCAGAGAGAGAGAGACACAGAATCTGAAGTAGCCTCCAGGCTCAGAGCTATCATCACAGAGCCAGACGCGGGGCTTGAACTCACGAACTATGAGATCATGACCTGAGCCGAAGTTGGCGGCTTAACCAACTGAGCCGCTGGGCGCCCCGTCACTATTTTTTATTTTAGTCATCAGTGATATCTCATTTGGTTTTACTTTACACTATCTCTAAAGGCTAATGAATGATGTTAAATATCTTTTCATTGCTTATTTTCCATTTGTATCTTTCCATTTGTCATCTTCAGTGAAATGTCTTTTACTCATTTTCTTTATTGAATTGTCTGTTTTTAAATTTTTGAGTCTGAGGAGTTCTTTATATATTTTAGATAGTAGTCTTTTCCAGATATGTGTTTGGCAAATATTTTCTCCCATCCTGGTATTTGTCTTTTCATCCTTCATAAGGTCTCTACAGAGCAAACTTTAAAAAAAAAAAAAAAAATTATGAAATCCAAATTATCAACTTTTCCTTTTATAAGCTGTGCTTTTGGTGTTAAGTATAAGAAATTATTGTCTAGCCTAAGATCCTAAAGATTTGCTCCCATGATTTTTGCTAAGAGTTAAAAAGCGTTTTATAGTTTATGATTTATTTCAAGTTCATTCTTGCAAAAAGTATAAGATTTAGGTCAAAGTTAACTCTTTTCAACTATGAATATCTAATTGCTCCAAAACCATTTGCTGAAAAGTCTATCCTTCCTCTGTTAAATTGCTTTTGCACCTTTGTCAAAAGCCAGTTAGGTATATTTGTATGGGTCAATACTGGGGCTTCCCATGCTGTTCCACTAATCTATTTGTCTATCCCTCTGCCAATACCACACTCTTTTGACCACTGTAGCTATAAAGTTAGCCCTGAAATTAGATAAACTGATGACTCCACTCCATTCTTTTAGTAAATTGTTCTTATTTATTCAGGTTCTTTATCTTTCCATATGAGTTCTAGAGCAAACTTACTTTAATCTACAAAAAAAAAAAAAAGGCTTCCTAGGATTTTGACAGGAACTGTGTTAAATACGCATATCAATTTGATGACACCTGACATCTTTACTATGCTGTCTTCCAATCCGTGAACATGATATATTGTTCTATTTATTTACATCTTCTCTGATTTCTTTCACTAGTATTAAATAGCATTCAGCATAAAAATCCTGTAAAAGGTTTGTTAAATTTACACCTAAGTATTTCTTGTGTGTATGTGTTTGATTACATTGATTCTATTTTCAGGAAGAGACCGTAGAATTAGTTTAGATTTTTCTTTAAAAGTTCTGTAGGATTCTCCAGGAAAGGCATCTGAGTTATTTTTGGGAGTTTCTGATTACTAATCTAATGAATTTTTAATTTGTATCTATATATTCACTGCTAGTATACTGAAATGTACCAAATATTTCTAAAGAGAAAAACTGCTTTTTGTATCCTAAAATCTTGCAGAATATATATATCAATTCTAAAAATATCGGGGTGAGGTACATTCTTGAGATTTTTTATAATTAGATCATTTGTAAACAGGGACAGTTTTATCTCTTTCCTATAATATTTATCTCTTTTATTTTCTCACCTTAATGCACTGACTAGAATTTCCAACACTATACTGAATAAGTGTGGTGAAAGGAAACATTCTAGCTTTGTTCTCAATCTTGGGGGGAAGCATTCAGTCTTTTACCATTAAGTATAGTGTTTTCTGTAGTTGCTCTTTTATCAATTTGACGCAAGGCCTTTCTATTCCTATTTATTCTGTCAGGGCTTTTTTTCTGTTAATTTTTATCACAAATGAGTGGTGAAATTTTTCAAATGCTTTTCCCACACTGATTGATACAATCATGAGATTTTTCTTCTTTAGCCTGTTAATATAGTGGGTCACACTGATTTTTCAAACATCAGCCTTGCATTCTTGGAATAAACTCTACTTGGTCAGGGTGTATAACTATATATACAGTATAGGTATTGTTCAAACGGTCTCTGAAATACTTGGGAGTCTTTGAAGATAAAGTAGACGGGGTATATTTTGAAGACAACCACATCAGACAGAAGGAAAGGGATCCATTTCATTCAAATATTTTTTTAAAGTATGTTCATATATACTGTGCAATTTACTCTCTAGATGTAAACAAAATATTCCCTGCTTTGAGAAACTTCAGTTACAATCCTAACTGTAAAGAACTTAAGAGTTCGTTTAGTCTATCCTCCTTGATAGCAACCTATCTTTTATTTTTAAAGCTTTACAAAACACACAAATGAAGGGGTACCTGGCTGGCTCACCCAGTAAAGTGTGTGACTCTTGATCGTGAGTTCAAGCCCCACATTGGGCATTGAGCTTATTTAAAAAACAAAACAAAACAAAAGACCCACACAAATGAAAATATCTCTTCTCTCTAATTTAATTCCCGAAACTGATTACCTCCTCTTTTTTATTCTTGAAGGAAATAAAAAGCAAATGGTGTCCATCTTCTGTAAAATGTCTTTTGGCAGTTACAGAGCAATCAATCTATACTTACCTTTCATACAAAAGAAAAAACTATAATATTTGCTTAAAACAAAGTGCTTAGTATCCCAAAAACAGAAGTTAGGATCAATTGGTTAAAAATAAAATAAAATGAGGGGCGCCTGTGTGGCTCAGTCTGTTAAGTGACCGACTCTTGGTTTTGGCTCAGGCCATGAGATCGAGCCTTTCGTTGGGCTCCGCGCTGACAGTGCAGAGACTGCTTGAGATTCTCTCTCTCCCTCTCTCTCCCTGCCCCTCCCCTGCTCTCTCTCTCAAAATAAATAAATAAACTTAAGAGGATTCAGAAGATAATGAAAAGATCCTGGGTGCTGAATAAATGATTTCTGTATGATGACACTAGCCGTAATGTCTTCTAATTAACTACCTCTGCACACCAAGCATCTGTGAATTACAACCTAGTTTTCCACCCACTCAATGAAAAACGCGCTCATCAACCAATTCCCTATTCTGATCCTCTTTGGGATTAATAAATTGGCATTCTGATTTACAGATAACCTCCTGTGTACTGAATAATGTGAGCCTCTCCTCTAGAGAGGAACCACCTCCCAGCATGTTGATAAATATTAAGTTTCTAGTTTGCAAAGCGGAGCATTAGACTCTGAAATGTACCACATCAAAGTATAATCACCTTTGTCAAGTTCCTTCCGAATGTCTAGCTGGAGTGACGTTTATACTGCTCACCTCTTCGAAATGTAACATAACATGTAAAAATATTGGTAGATCCACTCACTGTTATTTCAAGACTAATAATGCTAACACGACTTCAATATGAAGTGAGAGGAACGAGCAGTTTAACATTTTTAATATTAATGAAGAATTAAAACTGGAATCACTTAGCAGATCACAAACATGCAAAGAACTCACTGCCAAGATATTTTTCACTATTTAAAAGCACCAACAATTTGGGGTGCTTGGCTGGCTCAGCTGGAAGACCGTGCGACTCTTGATCTCCAAGTCATGAGTTTGAGCCCCATGTTGGGTGTAGAGATTACTTAAATAAAACTGAAAACAACAACAACAATTTTAAATTAAATGACTTTAATTCATAATGTGGAAAAAAATTATTTTTTTTCCACATTATGTGCTAAAGTTAGTGCTTTGGAGTAAAGAAACATTTTCTCTATTTTCAAGATGCCACTTTTAACTGAAGAAAACAGAGAAGGTGCTCAGTGTCACAGGGATATTTTACTTCTACCGGCGCCACTTTGGCAGCTGCTTTTATTGGAATATATTAATTGCCAAAATACATTGGACTTGGCAGCTTCCTTCAAGAAATAAAACTGTTTTGTAAATAATATCAACAGTATTTTGTGAAAGACCAATGGAATCATCTATGTTTTAGGAGCATTTTAAAAATTAGTGTCTCCATCCTGTTATTCCAAGACCCCAGTGTTTCACTGCAAACATGATATGCTGACTGTAAAAATGCCTAATTCTCAAGAAGAACAATCACAAATTAAAAAAAAATTTTTTTTATGTTTGTTTATTTTTGAGAGAGAGAGAGAGGCAGAGCACAAGCAAGGGAAGGGCAGAGAGAGAGACACAGAATCCAAAGCAGGCTCCAGGCTCTGAGCTGTTATCACAGAGCCCGACGTGGGGCTCAAACCCACAAACAGCAAAATCATGACCTGAGCTGAAGTCAGACACTTAACCGACCAAGCCACCAGGCTCCTGGGGGCAATGACAAATTTAAGCATTTTCCTATGAATTAGAAGTTAACTACTATGAACAAACTGCATGTAACAAAATACGAAATTATAAAATGAGGTGACATTCATTCATGAAACCGGCAACAACAACCACAAAAAACCTTGAAATAATATTAAGAAAATGAGGAAGAATGAGTAGGCAAAAGGAAAAAGACTTTTTTAAGTAAGCTCTATGCCCAAGGTGGGACTCAGATTCATGACCCCAAGATCAAGAGTTGCATACTCCACCAACTGAGCCAGCCAGGTGCCCCAAGATACTAATTCTTAAAAAGAAAAAAAAATCACCATAGTTAGAACCACATACAAAAAAATGCAAAAATTGGCCAGTTAACAGAAATATAACAACACTGGGCAAACAGAAATTCCCAAGCAATTTCCCAATTTTAGACAGTCTCTATTATCCTAAAAACTCGCAAAAGCTATGTTTTGTTTCAGTGCCCTTGGAAACAGATGGTAATGCACTAGAAGCTTATGTATACCACACACTAGTGTAGTAAACTAGAAAGCATGCATGATTATCTAGAAAAGTTACTTACAACTTCGCCCAAACTGGCATTTTGCTCTTTTGAAGCCACACTGTATTTGTTTGGCTCTTGGTATAACAAATTAATAATAAAGTTTTAAAGGATTTTGAGGACACTTGCTTAAGCTGGCTTCTAAATGAACCAGTCTAAAGGCAGAATTTAATATTCTAAAACACTGTAAAGTGGATTCTACAAAGAGCTTAGTAAAACTGCTTTAAAAGGTTTACTTTACTTTTAAAAGCATCTGTTGCTCCAGGTGCATGGTTTTTGTCTGGATGAAACTTCAAAGCAAGCTTTCTATAAGCTTTTTTCAAATCTTCATCACCAGCATCTTTGGTAACTCCAAGTACTTCATAGTAATTTTTACATTTGTTTATGCTGTGAACAAGAGAGTGTGTTATAATGTAAATTTCAAGGAAGAACTTCAGGAAATATCTCTAATTTTTACTTATTAGAATACTAAGAAGAACTGTCTGTGGACTATTTCCTCAGTATCAAATGATAGCTTATCCCATTAAAGGTTATTGCTTCATTCTCTTTTTTGACCACAGACCATTCCCTTAACCTCTTTCCAGCCTATGGAGAGTTGGCCATGAGAATGTCCTTGGTGCATTTTATCCCAACTACAGAGAAGTAGCAAAGCCCGTAACAATCATGGATGAAGGACAGAGCACACACTGAAGCTAGAATGAGAGAGTGAGAATAATTTTATAGTACTCTTAAGTGCACCAAGAAATTCCAAAACTTTTCCCAAGTATGTCGTAGCTAAGGTTAATTTAATACACACTGCATTCCAAGAGTTCTATTGTCACATAATGCAGACCTCACCAAATATCACAGCAATATTTAGTGCATGTAAAACAATTACAAGTACTCTATGGTTTCAACGTCAATGCAAATTAACTCAGTTTGGCTATTCTAAAGAGAATTCATCTGTGTCACTCTAAGAAAGATAAAACCTCATAATAATGTACATCACAGGAGTCAAAAATGTTACACCCAATTTTCATTCTGATGAGCATACTTTTAAAGATTACTGACATAGCTAACTAAAGGTGTTAACAGATTTAAGCCCGCAGTCTTTAAAGAATATGAAGAAATAAAATACTCTGACTGGAGCAGAGAACACTAATAACTTTTAAATGTTAATATTCTCCCCCAAACTTACTAATTTTCCTTCACTAGAATACAGTAACATTTTAAACATCTTCTGTGGAGTACTGTATGACTTTAGATGTGTTCCATGTGTGAGTCGCCTGAAGTAGCAACAGGATAAAGAGCTAAGAAATAATTGTTCACTGGCAGCTAAAGAACTGCAGAGTGACTTAAAGTTCTGAGACATGATTGATCTTATTTTACTACTGAACCTATAAGTCATCACAGTGCTTGATACAGGATAGGTTCTCAGTAAATATTTCTGGAATAAATGAGCCTTAGCCCTCCTTTTATAATGATCGCATTCAGGGGCACCCGGGTGGCTCAGTTGATTAAGCACCTGACTCTTGATTTCAACTCAGGTCATGATCTCATGGCTCATGAGATCGAGCCCCACTTTGGGCTCTGTGCTGACAGCACGGATCCTGCTTGGGATTCTCTCTCTCTCCCTCTCTCGCTGCCCCTCCCTCACACATGCTCCTTTCTCTCTCTCTCTCTCTCTCTCAAAATAAATAAACTTAAAAAAATAATAATGACAGTATTCAACATTTGTTAAATGAACAAAGTAAAAAAAAAAGAGAGAAGACACTGTATAAGATTATAGAAATCTATTTATAATCACACATCAACAAAAATCTGTTTTGCGGTCTTCTTTATGATAAAAATAATTAAAATTGGATGTTTCTACTTTGATAATAATTATTAACATTTTATTCCATAAACATGATATTTCCTTTGTTTAACCAGCAATATTTATTGAGCACCAATTATGTCACAGACAGTGTTCTGGGCACTTGAGATATATTTGTGAATAAAACAGAGAATGCTTCCTGCCTTTGTAGAACCCATTCTCCCAGATATGTTTAGAAACTATGTGACAGAAAAAAAATGAAAGGGGACATTTATAGAACACCTACTGTGTGTCAGGCACAGGTCCACAATCACATATCCATGTTCCAAAATCCATAAAGCTCTGAAAAACGAAAGTTATTCTATAACCAATTTGATGCAGAAACCTGACTGAACTCTTTCAGAGGCAAAATTTGACCTGATTGGATGTGAAGCTGCTATAGGGTTTTCATTTATCCCATTTAGGTGTGAATATGTTGCTGCAGAAATGTTACTATTAGGTTCTGGGCTGCTCACTAGAGGTTAAGTGTTGCTATGTAATGTATAATATATGCTCCTTACTATCTTCCTAAAATATGAACAATTCTGAATTCCAACCTACATTTGGTCCACAAAGATTTCACACAGAGAATTGCAGAATCATATTATACTGGCTATTTTACATAAATTGTTTCATTTCCTCCTCATTAGATGTTATTCCTATTTAACCAATGAGAAAATCAAGGCTTTGAATGGTTAAGTTGCCAAAAGTCATATAACAAAGTAATAGAGGGGAACTGAGTTTATTTTTTCAACAAAAATTTACTGATCAATTACTTTCTGCGGACACTATTTCAGATGCTATAGTGGTGAATAAAATACTGAAAAGAATCACGATTCACATTAAATTTACAATTGGGAGAGGGATGAACAATGAACAAACAAGTAAAATATAAAGTACATCGTATGGTGATAAGTAGAGAAAAATAAAGTGACAAAGGGGACTAGAGAATGGACAAGAAGGCAGCTATTTTAAATAGGATGATGAGGAAAGGCCTCACAAGTAAGGACTCAAACCTTAGTCTGTCTGACTTGAAAATTCTGCCCTCAGAACCACGGTAAGGAAAAGGAACCCTTCAGACACCTGAGTAACCCACCTCTTCCTTTCTATCCACTTTTCCTATCAGTGTTTAAACAGACTTTTCTCTCCCAGGTATTTTCAAATGTTGGTTTTGGTGCCCAGAACGTGCCTTCTCTGCTTCTTGCTTAGTTAGTTTCCACAACTGCTTCAGACCTCAGCTTGGCTTTTCATTTTCTCAAGAATTCCAATTCCTCAAGACTCAGTTTGGTGCTCCTGCTGTATCTTCCCCAAAACCCTCTGGACTTGAGCCCTACCCCGGCAATTACCACAGTGTACTGCACCTACCTGGTCCGAGCCCTCTTCTAGACTATAGACCTCCTGAAGGCAAAGATTATGTCTTGTTCACTATATGTGGTGAATGGATGTATAATAGATGGACGGATGGATGAATGGCCCAATTTGAAGGCAGAAACGGTTAGGATCTAACGGTCAAAGGTGGTAAGTGCTATAATGTAGTTGGCATCAAAAGTTAACTTGGGGGTGCCTGGATGGCTCAGTCGGTTAAGCGTCCGACTTCAGCTCAGGTCACGATCTCGTGGTTCACGAGTTTGAGCCCCGCGTTGGGCTCTGGGCTAACGGCTCAGAGCCTGGAGCCTGCTTCCGATTCTGTGTCTCCCTCTCTCTCTGCCCCTCCCCCGCTCATGCTCTGTCTCTCTCTGTCAATAATAAATAAAACATTAAAAAAAAAAAAGTTAATTTGGAATAGAGGAGAACAGACTGTGGGACAAGGAATAGAGCCAAGAATATGATAGACACTATGTGAATGCAGAAAACAAAAGGCAGTGATAAAACACTAAACAATCCTAAAGTCATTATTACTTGGTTTGCATGCACAAGATGATAAATTATATGCCAGACTAACCCTCCAAAATTGTTTTGTTGAGATTTCCTGAGCATAAAAGGCTAGGCAATAGGAAAAGGCAGCCCAAGAGAGGACTGCTGGATAGGGTAGGAAAATTAGGATGGAATTCGCAATCTTCTGCAGATGTGTCTAAAGCTAAGAATTGTCACAAAAAGAGGTAGAAAAACAATTATTTCACTAATTCTTTTTTTTTAATGTTTATTTATTTTTGAGAGAGAGAGAGACACAGAGCACAAGCGGGGGAGGAGCAGAGACAGAGGGAGACACAGAATCCAAAGCAGGGTTCCAGGCTCTGAGCTGTCAGCACAGAACCTGACATGGGATTTGAACTCACAAACCGTGAGAGCATGACCTGAGCCGAAGTCAGACGCTTAACTGACTGAACCACCCAGGTACCCCTTATTTCACTAATTCTTAAGTGTAGCTAGTTCTACTATATCCTCCTTGCACTGAGTTTTTCAACACATGTTAACAAGAGAAATTTTCTGAGAAGCCAGCAAAGAGGTATAAAGTTGACATCACCAGTGGACAGGCTGCAGACTACTCCATTATTTCAAGTAAGGCTCCAAATACACTCATTTACTTAATATTTCACACATGAATGAATTACCATTCATATATTTATTTCAATTTATATTTTTGATCATTGTGCCTTCACCAACTCAATGCATTTGTCATTCTTTGTATATATATATATA